TTTTCTATTTTTTTTTTTTTTGTTTTACTGTTGATAGTTTACAGTGACATTGCAACTTTCCATATCAGTTTTTTACCATTTGAAAAGAAATCTGATAATATTTTGTGATTAAAAAAGGGCGTGATAAAATGCAAAACAACGACTTTATAGAACATTATGAATGGATTCCTGTTCATCAAATGGTTATTGCTCTGAATACAAAGCAGGAATCCTTTTAGGGTTTTTTTAAATTTACTTCAAAAGGCTGTGTGGGATATAAGGGATTTGGTGGCATCTGTGTTTTGCCAAGAATGGCACGCGATGATGGTCTAGGGAAGGGATGGATTTCCAGCAACTATTCCAAAGGCAGGCACCAATGTGATCTTACATGGTAACCTGACGTGGCCATGTATAAGTGGATTACCATGTCCGCTGAACAGACAATCCAAAATGTTATGGTCCTTGTTTAAGCAGGAGGTCAAGGGAAATCTACTAAAGGAAGCATGAGTTCTGGTTACAACTGTCCATGAGGTGATTTCACAAAGTTTTCTGCTCACTTCCTGTTGTGTTTCCAGGGCAGGAAGTGAAGGGAAATATCTCCAATTCAACTCAGAGAGCGCTAAAAACCTGGCAGGGATTTTAAAATAGAACTCCAGGAAAAAAAAAATTCTGAACACTTGCAGTGGGTCTACCCCTGCACTGCAAAGGTTAAGTGCTCATTTGTGTCTAGGTTAAAAAAAGTTATACTCACCTGATCCTCGGAGATAGCTTGATTGGAGACTGGTCCCTTCTATCTCGCTTCCCTCCGCTGAAGCATTCTAGGGATTCTTGACTCATCTTCTATACACAGCGTATAGGATGTGAGGACACTGAGGGACATACCCTTGCTGCAAACTAGGAGGAGACGGGCTAGAGGGAGTGCGGTTACAGCCAGACGGCTCCAAGGTATGGGTGAGTATAACCTTTTTTTAAACTTAAGGAGTTCTTTAAGCATTCTCTACTCTTTCTAGAACATTTTGACACTTTGATACACTGTAACCTGGTTGAAAAGGACACGTGCCCATCAAACCCAGCCTCTCATAAACTTGGTAGAATTGACCCCGTAAGGAGGGGAAGGGTTAGTACCTGTCAGTTTTTTATGATAGTCAGTGAGCCTGTTTGAGAGATTTCCACTAAGTACAAAGTAGGGAAACTTCTTGAAAAGCTCCTACCCCTTCCCCACCTTATCCGATTGGGTTTTTTTTTCTTTGCCCTGGGGCTACCCCCACACTACTTTTTTTTGCCTAAGTTAAAAAAAAAGTTATACTCGCCCGATCCTTGGAGCCGACAGTGCTCCCTCCAGCCTGTCTCCTTCTCTGCTGCTGCGAATGTCCCTGGGCGCCCTCATGTCCTATACACTGTATTGGATGTGATGTCTTGAGGATTCCTAGACCGCTGCAGGGGAGGGGGAGAGATGCTCCAGGGAGCGGTCTAAGAGCCAGCTGGCTCGGAGGTTTAGGTGAGGATAACTTATTTTTTATTTTTTTTACCCTAGGCAAACCCTAGGGGGGAGAGAGCCCCACTGCAAGTGTTAATAACATTTCTGCCTGTAGTTCTTTTAAGTTTTGTTTTTAGTTCTACTATCAAATATTTATTTTTAATACCACGGAGATGTATGAAGCTTCACGCACTATAAATGCAAGTTATTGTTTTTCCCTTCATCCTGATCCCTCCTCTGCTCATAATGGGCACGCTGTTACGAGTGTGTTATTATGGTGGAGTGTTTACCGGTGAAGTAACAGGGCTCATATTGTACAGAAACATATTGACCTACAGACTCTCATTTCCTGGTTGCTGCTGTTTAAGTGTAATAGGATTTTTAAAAATGTTGCATTTCATAAACTCAGCCATTGTTAGCTAATGGAGGAGTAATATTGAACCATTAAATCTATTTTCTTTGTATTTTAGGGTAGAGGTAAATGCAATTTCCAGCACTCATTATACTTCAAAGACAGCCCAACAGTTTTGGGTTAATGTTCCACTGCTTCATTGTCAGTATAGTGTTTCCTCTGTTCTGTACAGGACATTTCAATATCCTGGAACTAGCTTATTGATTACCACACATACACATTTGTCAGAAACCAATATTTGTTTAATGATGAATAAATCCTAAATTTAAAGTTCAACTCAACATTTTTGACAAATACGGCCACATATTCCATAAATATTGGAAGTCTGGGCAGTATGAGAAAGAATGATCTGGCATTCCTGCTGGCAAAAACCTATGGATTCCTGTGCAAGAATTCCAGGTGTCCCCAATGAGATGCCACTGTACCCACTGAATTAAATGACCAGGTGACAGCAGCCGCATCTGTAAGGGGCAGTCCACATGTAATGGTACATGGTATGATTACATGCAGTTTGGAATAGGTCACTGGACACATCTATACTGTACTGTGTCCAGGGACAATTCTGTTTCCCAAACCACATGTAGTAATACCATGTACAATTACATGCGGACCGCTGCCCCCCTCTCATTAACTTCAATGGGTGCATTTCAATCGGGATACCTGGCATCTCTGGTGCAGGAATCCATAGGTTCTTGCCGCAGATCGCCCCATGTGAACAGAGCAAGGCAAGCCACTCTCCTTCCCGCTGCTTCCTGCTCCTCCCTTCTCCAAGCTAGTAGATGGACAACGTCTGCAGACTGCTCTGTCCTTTGTGATCTTGCACTGGACAGGAAGTTCAGGTAGGATGAGCTGAGGGAGTTGGAGAAGCTGTTTGGAAACATGATGACTGTAAGTGTTTGGGCAAACATTTAAAGAAATACTTTGCTGGACAATGTATATTTGTTTGATCTGTGTTGAAAGAAAACATTTTTATGTAATTCTTTTAATTGGTACTACTTTCAATAGTATATTATGAATAGTCCTGTCTGTTAGTGTGTTGCAAAGAGATGCATTAGCCACAGAAGTGCTGTAAATAATAATCCCAAAGACTGGTGATGATGATGGTCTTTGGCAGATCGAAAGAATGTTCCAAAACAGGAAAAGTTTATATAGTCACTGCTCTGCAATCCGAGAGTCAGGAGGCAGTGAGTATATTTACTTTTTTCTCTAACATTAAATACATGCATACTAAAAATGTACTCTGCTTTGTGTTTAAGACCCCATTCACACCAGTGCGACAGTGTTTCAGCACGCTTTACATGCATTTTTTAAGCGCGTTTGTAATGCGTGTTTCAGCGCGCATTTTTTTACAGGCGTTTTCTGTTCATATGTGATAGCATTTTAAGGTGCGTTTTTCAGCTCGTTTTCAGTTGTCCAATGAAAAGCAGTCTCGGCTGTAAAAACGTGCTAAAGAAAGCACGCAAAACGCGCTGATCGGCACGTTTCCATTGAAGTCTATGGAGACGCGTGACGAAACGCCCTGGTGTGAACGGGGCCTAAAGAGGTGGTAAACTACTATGTGAAGGGTGAGTTTTTGCTCTAATGTGCAAGTATGCACAGCATATTAAAGCACATTTATTTTATAAGTGTGTCCTTCTCCAGTGCTGTCAGAACGATCTTTGGTCCCCCTGCTCTATCCCCCAGCACCGCCATCTCCGCCGCCGACACTTCTGGGTTCCCAGGCATCCTCTTTGGCCATTTGGGTAGCCAGTGATGAAGTAACCCATTCGCATGTGTGCAGGAGTTGCCTTCTCCTGGACACCTGGCCCATTCTTGGCATCTTAGAAATGGTGTGAATGGGTTGACTGCGTACACTGCAGGCCCATGCCTATAAAGTGTACACAAAAAATAAAAAAATCGCTGGGGGATTTGCATGTCTCATCTGCCAAAATTCCCTACCTACCAGTGATAATTTTTAAATTTTTGTCACTTACGCTTTAAATGTGGCAGCCTTTATGCACAGCTGGATTTGTTGTAAATGAGTTTATACCCTTTTTTCAGTAGTACGAGAAAGAAAAAAAAAATGCACATACGCGAAAGCAAAATATCAAATGTATTTAATTTTGTTTTGATATTTTACTTGTCTTGCCATCCTCTGGCAGAGTGAAAACCCTTTGAGAGTATTTGGAGCAGCATGCAGGAGGAATGTGTTATATTTAGGAAGCATAAAAACGTGTTAATGTGGTGATAGCATTTATGACGGTGCTGAAAGGTTATTAAAATGGAGTCAAAGTGTGGAGTGCATCCACGTGCTTGCAATCGCTTCCATATGTTCCACATTACAATTGTTTACGTTAAACTTTGTCCTGTACTGCAGCTCCTCCAAGTGGCCTGGAAAACCAGGTCACAAGCTAATGGCTGTCACCGAACACCACTGAGCATTATGTACAGAGCCCCAGTCTAAGAGACAGATAATTCCCATGGCTCAGAGGTTTGCAGGCCAGAATGCATTAAGTAATGGATTGATTCGAAAAGCACTTTCCTGTAGGGCATCCAGGATGTGTCCTTGTTTCGAAAAGACATTGAGATCTATAGCTTTTTTTTCCACGAACATTAGAAGTAAAGTGAAGGGTCTACATTACCACATTGCCTCTGCAAGCAGTCTCCTCACTCATGACCGTTAGAGCACAGATGGTGTGCAGCAGACAATATTGGCCAGTAATCTGTTTGTGCCCTAGAAGATTAAGAAGCTGCGCCGGGCTTCTATGTGAAACGGCTCATATTTTCACTAAATTAATTGTCTGCAGTATGTTTTCTAAACCCTCACTCCATTCCCATGGAAAAGAATGCAGAGATGATGCCATTTAATTTTGCATCCTAATCATCCAAACTATCTGTTCCTGTATTGAGTGTTTTTCTGCATTTGTCCAGGCTAAGCCTAGGGTTGTCCACTCAGTACAATTTTTAGCGGAGAAGTAACTCATTAAACAGCTCGGAAAGTCAGTCATGTGAGTTGGGATGGATCTTCAGACTAATGAAGGAATGTATTGTGGCCTTGTTAGATGATCTGGGGAAAAAAAAAATATAAGTATTTGCGTATAAGTGGAAGAGAAATGCAGTGAAGTGACTTGAAGAGACTGGAAGTAAAAAGAAAGAGGTATTTGATGTGTTCCAATGCGATGACCCTCTAGAAGGACGGCCATGGATTCCAGGGAGTTCGATCTGCAGGATGAGTACAAGTCACCATTTAACTTTGACTGTGGGGTCAATCGGAATTATCTCTTCCTGTCACCTCGCCTGAGCAACACTCCCCCGGATTCTCCCACTCGGCTCAGCACTGGTAAAATGTCTTTTACTTTGTGAGATAACTGTGACGGTGCCAGGTGTTGTACTGTGTGCGTGGATCTTATTATCCTTAAGGGTGTTGCCAGATTATAACTGAGTGCTTATAATTTAATCTCATAGCACAGTTCTGTAAGGTTCCCGGACTCTTCCTTGCTGGAAAATCATTTAAAGTATATGTGAACCCCAACATTGAACTGAATGCTTATAATATATTCTCATAGCACAGGTCTGTAAGGTTCCTGGGTTCTTCCTTGCTGGAAAACCATTTAAAGTAAATGTAAACCCTAACATTGAAGTGGGTGCTTACAATATAATCTTCTAGCACAGGTCTGTTAGGTTCTCGGGCTCTTCCTTGCTGGAAAATCATTTAAAGTATATGCAAACCCTAATAATGAACTGGGTACTTATAATATAATCTCATAGCACAGGTCTGTAAGGTTTCCGGGCTCTTCCTTGCTGGAAAACCATTTTCAGCAAATGTAAACCCTAACAATGATCTGGATGATTATAATATATTCTCATAGCACAGGTCTGTAAGGTTCCTGGGCTCTTCCTCACTGGAAAAATATTTAAGGTTTATGCAAACCCTAACAATGAACGTCTCATATGCACTCTTGTTAAGTATGCTCTTGAAATCGTTTTATTATACCTGTTTGATAAGTGCAAAAAAACCCGTTGATCATGCCAGAAATCTTGTGACCTGATAACGTCTCTCTTCTGACTATTATCATTTAGCATTGTCCCAGCTATCTCTATGGGCTACAAAACACCTTCTGTAGTCTTGTCGTAGGGTGACAACACTGCTTTTCCATAGATGCAGTGTGGTGAATGAGCTTTGTCACCCTAGGATAGGAAGTGTGTTGCACAGTAAAATGCATGCATTACCGAAACACATGTACCAGGTGTGTTGTGTTGCCATTTACTTTGAATGGCGTTCTAAGGCTGGGCACACACCTTACAACCATCGCAAGACTTTTGTCTTGCGATGGTTGTAAGGTACTTAAAAAACGTACGATCTGCCTATGTTGCATAGGCAGATCGTACTTGTGATGATCGCAAGCCACGCCCCCTGAGGGGCGGGCTTCCGATGACCGCAATGCCGAACGGGCAGTGTGTGCTTGCGCACACCGGCCCGTACGGCTGTTATCGTATGGACATGCCACAAACCGCCGAACAAAGTACGATGCTCGGCGGGTTTTCGAACATGTCCGTAAGTTTAAAGTCGTGCGACCTTACAGTAGTAGAGCAAAACAAACGACAAACACACTCAACAATTTGTTACAAGTGCCTTTCTGCCTTTCTACTGTTCTTACAGTAGTAGAGGTCGCACGGCTTCCACAAACCTTACGATAATCGTACGATCGCGGGATTTCCCGCGATTATCGTACGATTATCGTAAGGTGTGTGGGGACCTTTACGCACTACAACAGATCTGTGTTTCAACACACCGCAATGCACATATGTGAACCATCGTTGTGTTGTGGTGCATTGGAAAAAAAACAAAGATGCATATGAAAGTCTGTTGGGGAACTTTGGCAGTCCATGCAAATGCATGTTTACTGCAACACACCACTACTATGTGAACCCAGCCTAAAACGTTTGTTTTGGATGAAGTGGGGAAAGGTTAGATCATCTGTCAGGCTTTTTGTACTGTCTGTGTTCCCGTAGGGAAGATATAACCTTCCTGTTGAAGCGATGGTGGTTACCTATGGAGCAAGTGAGCATAAACCTTTCAAATATTGAAGAGACCTACCAATCCAGGGACAGGACGTAAGAGCAAACCCCCCCACAGGGACAGAGAGATCATTCAAAACCTGACAGAGGTCCTAACCATTCTCCGCTCTGTCCAGAATTTGAAAGTATAAGATTTGGCTGAAATGATTCATTACACAAAATAGTTTGGGAAATATATTTATTTTAAAACGTCATATTTAAAAATATATTCAAAGTATCCAGTAACCTAAAGTTCTACAGAAGTAAGAGTGAGTGCTATAATGAGGATAAGTGCTAGGATGGGAGCTCGGGTGCTCCCACAGATTTATTTTTGGACTTGCTTTGTCTATACAAATTAACAATGAAAGTTTGTGGTTGTTTGCTCCCCAAGACGAGCCCTACAAGGACTGTTTTCATCAAGTGACCATAGTGCAATGACAGAACAACAGTTGGGAAGTGTGGAAATCACTGTCACTTTGAGCTGCTTCTAACTCAGAAATACTGTATATATGAAAGAGGTGACAAATGTAGCAGCTTTGTCTGGCCTTTCTTCCACCTCAACCTGCTATAGTGTTCTGGTCTAAACTGGGAAGCAAATCTCCCCTTTTGGAAACCCCCCTGCTCCCTGTACGCCAGCTTTCTCAAGAAGGATCCTTCTGGCTTTCTCAGGGGGCCTCGAAATTTTTGCACAGCATCATGCCTTTCCATGGTGTAGACGGGCCTACCACTGGCACTAGGGAAACGAATGATGCTAATCCAAGAAGTGTGGGGTCCATTCCGAAATGGATAGATGTTCCCCGGTGTCCAGGCCTTCTCCACCTCCTGTTTTCTCTGTCTATGGTCACACCAGCAGGATATATCTTTCTGCAACTAGGAGCCATTCTCACTGGTTTTCAGCTGTGTAATTAGATTCCCTGCATGCTTCAACTTCATAAAATAGAGTATTGTTGCTTAAAGTTGAACTCTGGAATAAGCAAATATTGTCTAAACATAAGAGGCACGTGTGTTCTCGGTGTGCCTTTCTTCCAGTTCTGTGCAGTAATCCAGAGTGAAACATTGTCTCTGTGTGAGAGCTTCCTGTACTATGACCAGTCACTACTGCTCTCTTTCCTTGTGCAAGGTGAATGGTCTTGTATCCGCCCCTTCCTGTAATTTTCTGCAGGCAGCCTGTAAGAGGTGGGGCTGCTGGGCCCCACCCACACCACTGCTCTCTAAATGCTATATACAGCCCAGTGATGATGTCACTACTATTTTTGCAAGGTAAACAACTGGGTTTACAGCTGCATTTAATGAACACAAAGTGCATTTATCACATTTGTGGCTAACGAGGAATATATAAATGAAAGTTTTTGTGCCCAGAGTTTAAAAAGGTAAAAAAACTATGAAAATGGTAGCCTTTGCCCCCAGCAGCCAGCCAGATTCGAGCTGTTACTGGTGTGGAATTTTGTGCCCATTCACGCCAGAGCATTTAGTGCACGTTATCCTACAAAGCACCTAGCATGCAGTACTGTACACTAAGTGCGTTTCTTTGCCATTCATTTGAGTGCCACCCCAACACACCTCCTTGCGGCCTTGTGTTGCAGCACAGTGTGACGTGCGATACTGCAATATGCATTGTGGCACAGTGGGAAACTGTAACGCACAGTTGCCAAGAGGTGCATTGGGGTGGTACTCAAATGAATGTCAATGCAACACACCTAGCGCACTGTACCAATAGTATGCTCTAAATGCACAATAACATGCAATTTAAGCACGGCGCTCAGGTGTGAATGGGCCCTTAATGCTCTCAAGCATCTGGAACTCATGACTATTCTGCAATTTCATAAATTGAGAAGCAGCATTTTTCAGGAAAGGGTTAATCTGCCCTTGCTTTTGAACCCAGACTACATTTTATTCCTATTTAGATGCCGCGGCTGACTTGCAGGTGATGATTGGAGATAAAATGATTATTTCAGCCTGGGTCATTTCATTAGCATTTTTAGATGACAGTCTCCTCACACGGTGGCTGGTGAATAATTATCAATCACAGGGAACCTGTACCATATGCTGGATTTAAATTATTTTCACACTAATGAAATATCAACAATTGGAAGTGCTGACCTGTCGTGTGTGCCCACAAATCACCGGCTTTTGGTTTTTGTCCAGGTTCTGGGTCCCCGTAGCTTGCATTGGCTGGATGAGAGTAAATTTCATTTATGAAAACCATTTGTGTAATATTAGTTCCAGTCCCTGGGGTAATTCTTGGGTAAAATTTCTACTATGTTTATGCTAAATGACGTAATCTGTTCTGGGTCAGCTCTAGGAATTCATTATGTGATCCCAGCCTGCGGCACTTTATATTTGCTGTATAATTCATGAAAGTCTATAAGAAGCGGTAATCCGATTTCCGTTTATCTGCCGTCTCCATTTGTTTATCGCTGGAGAGACCCCGCGCTTGGCTCGCCAGCATTCCTCATATTTATGTATTGTTTGCAGGCAGATGGAGCATTGCTTGTAAATTTAGTTTTATCTGTTGTACTACTTTATAGCTGCTTATGTTTTATTCAGACATGTAAGTAGAATATGGGGTTTTTGTTGTGACCTTGTGTTTAGTGTTTGCAGAGCTTGTGTGTGGATGTGTGTTTTTAAAAGGGCATTCCACCCAAAATACAGATTGCATAGGTGTGTTAACTTCTGAACTCGAATGTAATAGTGCAGATGGAATCTCTAAGACACCAGCATGTCATGCGGCATTCACACTGCAATGCGTGCGCTGGCATGTGCAGCGCTATTGGTAACCTCCTGGCACATAGTTTAAGACTGCATGGCTTCTCTGTTAACCGGTAGTGACATTCTGAATTTCCCAGACCCACTGGTATGTATGATGGGCGCCAGTCACTTTGAATAGATTTTAATAGCACGTGCATGAAGAATAGGGAAGGAGGGTGAAGGTAGCACAGGATACCTCTAGGTTTATATCAAAACACAATACTTTGGTCTTCTGCATTGTCTTCTAACTTTATTGGTCCCTCTCTCAGGGCTTTATTGGCTGGACACTTTTTTATTTATTACAGGTAGGGATGCATCGATACCGTTTTTTCTGTATCGAGTACCAATATTCTTTTTCATTACTCCCGAATACAGAATACCGTTCCCGGAAGTCTCATTAAGGAAGCCAGCCACCAAGTGACAAGGGAGCATGGAGCCGGCTCTCTGGCCAATCAGGAAGCCGGGCAGCGTGTAATGACTCGCCGCCCAGCTTCCTGATATTGGAAGTTCAGGTATCGGGCTAGGCATCGGAGCATTACTCGTACTCGCCCAAATATTCGGTATCGGCATTGATACTAGTATCGGTATCGGTGCATAGATAATTACAGGTATTTACAGTATATAGTGCCGACAATTTACACAGCACTTGACATCAGTGCACATTCACATCAGTCCCAGCCCTCGAGGAGCTTACAATCTAAGGTTCCTATCGCAAAGGGCCGATTTAGACAGAAGCCAATTAACCTACCAGCATGTCTTTGGAGTGTAGGAGGAAACCCACGCAAGCACTGGGAGAACATGCAAACCCCTTGCAGATAGTGTCATGACTGGGATTAAGATCGGTGACCCCAGTGCTAACCACTAGGCACTGTGCTGCTCACTTAAACTTGAAAGTTGGCTCCTTGTCAACTGAGGTTCCTTGTATGCTCAGTCTTGGAATCCAAGGTAGGACAGCAATGGAAAGGTTCCTGTGTTGCTTCCCAACCCAGTCAGTCACTCGGTACCTCCATGTGGGGGACAACTGCAGCTCTGCTTTCTCAAGGCCTGTAGCACACCAGAGCAGCCAGTAACTTAGGGATACCTCCCAGGAGGGGAGATCCCTTAGGGCTATGGACAAGACTGGTAGTTACAGATGGATCCTCTCATGGTGAAACCCAAGAGAGAAGCCCATGTGCCAGGAATATTTAATAGCTCTCACAGCATGCACACAACAGCCCCCCCAAGCCTGCTGATTGGCCAGGTATTAAACATATGGAATGTTATCTCTAGCACACCCTGCTGTAGCAAATGCAACATAGCATGTGACTGAGAATAACCCCTCCACACTTAGAGTACACAAGCCAGCACACAGCTAAGATGACTAACCTCACACTGACGGATTATAAAAAGACCAAAAGGATTTTTAAAAATACCACATCCCTACACAGTGTTGTGCGTTGTGTTGTGTTTTTCACATGCAATGCTTTTTTTTTTTCTTTCAATTTTTGCAGAGGAGTACAGCACATCAGAAGAGCCAAGCTTGTGTTGACCTGCTGTTTTTGCCTCGTTTTGATGCCAGTTGCATCGCATGGGCAGAAAAAAAAAAGTATGGCCAACTGTACTTTATTTTCAGCACACAGCAGCTCGCACCAGCATTGGTTTGAACGGCTCCCATTCAAACCCATTCATTTTCTGATGTCCATCTGTAGGCATGTGTTGATAAATGCATCTTCTGTATATGGATCCTAAATCTCTTTATTCGCACATAGGCGTTTGGAATTCAGTGCGTCTTATGCATACAAAAATGCAAGGTTTTGTGTGCGTATTTAAACGCAGAATTTTTCATAGACACGTGGTTTTGAACGCTTGGCCAGTATGGGGCTACCCCCATACTGCAAGGGGTAAATGCTCGGTTTGGTCTAGGGAGGAAAATAAAAAGTTATACTCACCCGATCCTCTCTGCCCCTCTGCTTCAGCATTCTAACTTCTGTGAATCATCGTGTCCAATATACTGTGTATAGGACATGATGACACAGAGGGACAGCTGGCTGGCTCAGAGGATCGATTGAGTACAATTTTGTTATTTTCCTCCCTAGACCACTTAACCATTGCAGTGCTAATGTAGACCCAATGCAAGAGCTAACATTAATTTTCCTCGGAGTTCTGCTTTAAGGCAGCCCATTCAAGGTGCATGCACTATTTTTTGTAATGCAGTGCCCCACAAAGCTGGGTAATGTGATGCATTGGAATGCCAATAAAAATACACGGTGCACCGATACATGCATGTGCATTACTGCACCGCATTAGTTTGAACGGTCCATAAATCATACAGACTACAGAAAGAGATTGCAGTATATGATTTCAATGGTTGGTTCTGTTAATGTAAAGTCTTCACATGTTTGAGAAATTTGAAATGTGCCCATGTACAGCCGGTCATCTGATATCATTTAAACACCCTCGCTCTCACCCTCACCCTCGCTCGCATCCACGCTCCACACGCCGCACCTCCTCCCCGCCTCACATTTCCTGCCCATCCACGATCGGCAAGGCACGCGGGGAGATGTAGTAAGGAGGAGCAGGGGTGGGGGGATGACAGCAGCTGATAGAACAGGTCCAATCTCAGAAGCAAGTTGCTGGAAGACTGACTCAATACAAACTAGTAGTCCCATCACTGGAGCCATTTTTTAAAATGTATTTTATTGTTTATCTGATTAACCGATTAATCGAAACTAATAATCGGCTAACTAATCGATTTTGAAAATAATCGTTAGCTGCAGCTCTAACGGGAACCTCAGTCAAATCTTTGGCTTCATTACTGGAATGTGAAGTCTGCCAGCATGAGCGTCTAACAGTATATTTTTTGTAGGTATTGGCACAGGAGATGCTGATCATTGAGCTATATAAGAGTCACAGCTTCTCCTATGCTAAGCCTTCCAAGTAAGTCACTGAATGGCTCTTATGTGGGCAGACTGATTGGCTTTCTTCCGATTTATATCAACACTGGTTTAGCAGCTAATTTGAAGATCTGAACCAATATTTCTATACTGTTGTAGTCAGTAAATGGTTATGTGGTTCCCACAGTTGGCCAAACAGTAAAACAATATATTTCTAATTACATTACTCTCATTAATCGTGTTATAAGGGACATGATGAAACCTATAAATCAATAACTTGAAGCATATAAACTGACAGAAGTTGTATTTATTATTATGCACGTAGATTTGCTGAAACCTGAAAGTGTGCCAGAGGGGGAAGATGCAGCTGCGTCACTAAAGGACACATTATCAGATGAAGAGCAGGAAAGCCTCAGGAAAGAGCTGGAAAAGGTAACAATTGAGGAATTTTATTTTGTAATATTAAATATGATTGACATTCTACCACACTGAAGCCTGATAGAGCCACAGACTTTCTGTTATAAATATATAACCGGCTTGAGCAGGTATTTAATATGCTTTAAGCCGTGATATAGCTTCATAAAAGCCTTCTGAGGCCTGCTAGAAGCTTGCTTAAAGGCTAAGTCTACTTTTCTGACCATGCTTCATGTTATACCAACATTTAGGGTGTAACATGAAACATGGTCAGATCACAGTACGGACATTGATGGGAAGAACTTGGTACGGATATGGACAGGAAGAAGAGTCTGAAGGAACCAGAGTATTGCACCCACGATCCATTGATCAAGGTTGCAATGCTTTACTGGCTCCAAAGCAAAAAAAATAACTTCACTTTTTTTTCTTTTATAAAATGTGTGGATTTGTTCATTTTTTTTTTTTTTTTTTTGGTTAAAGGTAGAATTTCACTTTAAATCTGCAAGAAGCACTCCCATCAGGATCCATATTTAGTGATCCTGGGCTAGAGCTAATGGCTGCTTTAAAGCTGCCCATACACCTTGCGATCATCGGACGACACTTTTTGTCCGATGATCGAACTGTCGTACAATTTTCGTACGGCGGCCCCATCCTACCCTGATTATCGCAAGGTTGGATCAGCAGTAATTAGAAGAAAGCACCTGGACGAATTGCGGTAATCGACCGCACGGATTTTTGCTGCGCCTGTGCAGTGCAGATTGCACAAATTTTGATGTACGGAAACGCCACCAACCTTGCGAAAATCGCACGATCAACCGAAGTTTTCTAACCTGGTGGATCGATTGTAGAGTATTTGCGGTTGTACACTGCCCATCAACCTTACGAATATCGGACGAAAACGCGATTGCATACGAAAATATACGTAAGGTGTATGGGGAGTTTTAGAAAGATGTTTGAAGCTTGTCAAAAGCGAATGAATCTGATGTTCTTCAGCCCAGTGTTTACAGGCTCAGAAACAATTCTGTTGTATGTTCGGTTTATGGGAAATTAACTGTTAACCTGCTGAGGTTTTCTTATTAAACAAATTGTGGGACGCACATGACACAAGTGAGCTTGGATAATAGAAGTTTTCATTCTTGGTCCTACATACCCTTAAAAAAAACTCTTTTTACATGGTTTTTACATATACTTGTAAAAGAGATTGATGAAAATAGCCTGATCAACACATGTTTAAAGGAGAACTATGGGGTCAGTTTTTTTCCCCCCTATAGTTCTCCTTAGGGTAACGGGAGGACACAAACTAGCGTCCTCCCGTTACCCTAAGGTCAGTATACCGCGAGCTACAGCTCGCAGTATACTGAGACGCCGCAGCCGGAGCGGATCCCGACGTAGATGACGAGATCCGCCCAGCTGCATGAGTGACAGCTGGCTCTGCCTATCTAGAGGCAGAGCCAGCTGTACCCGCCCCCTCCCCCGTCCGTTCCGCCAGTCAGCGCTGGCGGATCGGAGCGGGGGAGGGGGGAATGCAGCCCCTCCCCTGTCACAGCAGAGAGCCGTGGCAGGATTGAGAGGTGAGAACGCCGGTATGTGTTCGCTCACCTCCCAAACTACTGAGCCGACCTGTGACAGTCTCATTGTCACAGGTCGGCTAGAACTATGAGGTGAGTGAAGAGCACTCACCTCATAGTTCTCCTTTTAAAGCTGACCGTACACTGCTCAAACTTGGTCTGAGTCCCGCTCTAATTCAAGCTGTGTGAAACCTCCGCTTGTCAAAAATCAATTTTTCAATAGTCAGAATACTATCAAAATCGGGCTAAACGAATAGGATATGGCCAGCCTACGTTTTAAAAAAACCTTGTTTATACGTATACTTCCTAATTCTTTATGTACACGTGGGGCAACTATGTTTACTCCCTTTCATATGCAGGTTCTGCTTCCAGCATTGCTGTGTAACACAGTAGTTGTGCTTTACTTCTCCTTCTCACAATGCAACTCTATAGCTGGTCATTGACTTGCATTTTTAAATCAAATTCTACCACTTACAATCCATTGGGAATGAAAAATACGATCAAAAGTAATAATACATTTCATTCAACAAACTGGCAGCTTCAATACAATTTATAAAATAAAAAACTCCAGGAACAAATTGCATTAACCCTTGCAGTGGGGAGCATTGCAAGAGTTAAGTGCTTGTTTTTGCCTGAGATCAAAAATAACAAAGTTCTACTCACCCGATCCTTGAAGCTGGCCGGCTGTGACAGGGCTCCCTCCAGCTTGTCTCCTCTTTCGCCGCAGCAATGGTATGTCCCTTGCCCTCCTCATATCCTATACACAGTGTATAGAATGTGATGACTCACAGGACCTTAGACCGATGCAGCCAAGGAGGAGAGAGGCTCCAGGGACCAGTCTAAGAGCAAGCCAACTCAGTGGTTCAGGTCAGTATAACTTTTTCATTTTTGATCCTAGGGAAAAACGAGCACTTAACCCTTACATTGTGGGGGTAGAGCCATTGCCATGGTTAATGCATTTTTTTACCTGGGGTTCTGCTTTAAATGATGATACATCAGGGCAATTTTAATCCCAATTCCTTGCAGTTGATAGAAACCACTTTTTGGATGTCTTCGATTGCTTCTCAATCTTGAGAAAAAATTGAATCAAAATTTCAGTTGCTTAATCAAGTTGCCACGTTTATGGGCGGCTTATGTGTTGGCTGAAATCCATGCACTCCCTACGTGCCTTATCTCTTATCTTTAGTATATTTTCCTATATCCCCTTTCTTTGAGTCTCCCTTGTAAGGCCTTTGCTTCCCTCTTGAAATCCTGGTCTGTTTCGCGTTTTGCCTAAGCCGCACATATTGACGATATGGGATGTTGCCTTTTAAGAACGTGGGATGTGCACTACGTGCATGCAGTATGGTGTTGCCTGCAGTCTCCTTTCTAAATAGTCTCGTACCAAGGGAATTATCTTCCCGAATTGAGATAGTCAAGTCCAAGAATGTGATCTCCTTCTGGCTGCTAGCCATAGTAAACTTCAGATTAAATTGGTTTACATCTAACATTTCCTTGAATGTTATCAACTCTTGTTTTGTCCCAGTCCATATTAATAGGACATCATCTATATAGTGCCACCAGAAGAGTGTATGGCTAGACAAGCTCTGTGGTGAATCATTCGTAAACTGATGTGATGTGTCACCTGAACTTACAGCGATTAGACCTTGATTAATGATCATGGTGCTCGTAGTGATTGCACGGATGGCGCTGCGTTTTCCAAAATCGTAGAAGACGCAGGTCACCATCACGTCAAAAGCATTGGATTAGTTTGCTTATTTATTGAAGAAACATGTCACAGGTGTCATTTAGCCAACGTTTCGGGGCCACGCAGGGTCCCTTCTTCCAAATTGTCACTGTCGCCCTGAAGAAGGGACCCTGCGTGGCCCCGAAACGTTGGCTAAATGACACCTGTGACATGTTTCTTCAATAAATAAGCAAACGAATCCAATGCTTTTGACGTGATGGTGATCTCCGTGTTCTGTGATATCTTATCTGAACAAAACTGGTTAGTGAGGTCAGTAAGGCAAACTCGCATCTTCCTCATGTAGCTAATTGCCATATCTCTACATCTCATACAAGACAAAAATTTGGAATAGCAAGTGTGTAAAAATATGAATATCACATCAAGTATTGATTTAAGGTAAGCACTGCAATAATAATTCAAAATACAGGCTTGCTGAAAATACAATATGCGATCCCTTTGACATGAGGGGTGTCTACAAAGCAGAAATGTCTAATTTGAAAATGTGTCCCTAATAAAAGTCATTGCCTTTTCCATTTGGACAGGTTACATAATAAGGAGAGCATGTTCTTTCATGGCAGATGCAGCAATTACCATGTTTTGCATTCGTGTGGATTGCAAGGCAATACTTATGGAAATCCAGTCAATTTAAATGTAGAAATGTATTATATAAAGTCGCTGATGATATTGGTAAATTGGGAAATGTAATGCTGTGGGTTCCTCTGATAGGTGATCGCACACTTCTAATAGAGATTTGCTGGTTCAGCACCAGAGAACCTAAAATGTTAAAATGTTGGCAACTTTAACAAAGATGTCTGTTCACTTGTGGGATCAGGGTCAGAGGGAGAAACCAGGGATTTTTGTAACTTCTTCCACTAAAGCTGGTCACAGGCGGCACTATAAAAGTAAACAAAGTGGCTGATATCCACCATGGTTTTGGCCGATTCTCACGTGCTAGATGGCCATTTTGACAAAGCTGGGCCATCAGGAGTGATAGTTATTATAGCTCAGGATGATTTTCCAACATGCTGTGTATAAAAGAGTAGGGGCCCATTCACACCGGATCCGTTGCATTGCGGTACATTTTTTTTTTTAACAAAGAATTTATTGAGTTTTTATCAGCAACAAAAACAATACAACAGTACAGGAAGGGCAATGCCCAAATTCATAGGTGTATACAATCAAGATGCGTAAGGCAGGGCACAAATCGGACAACAATACAACAGGTATCATGTACAGCAGATGAAGTACAGAGTTGGTATGAGCAGTGCATGGAAATATTACAACACCGATCGGTTGGAATGCCAAGAAACTAAAAAGAAAAACAAAAAGTCTTACACAGGGAGAGGTGTCTAAAAGTCTCAGTGATACAGAGAGGATGAACAATGTTTTTGTGTTGTAAACATTTTTTTACATTTTTTTTATTTAATAAGTAAAAATTAGAGCTTGTGGAGAGCGTCTCTACCAATGAGGGGATGCGGGTCTGGTAATCATCATATGATATGTGTCAAGCATCTGGTGTCTGTCAACCAGCAGGCCCAACGCGAGGTGAAAGTATGGCGTCTACAGTTAGCCTTGGCGAACAGAAATTCAAAATGTGCCTGCGTGTTTAGAAACACGCGGTACATTTTTTAATGGATGTTCACAGAAGTGAACCGAAAAATGAATGGGTGTGAATGGTGCTAGATCGCACTGCTCCGTTGTGTTACATTACATTGCGCTGAGAAAAAGTAGAACATGTGAACTAGCCCCATTAACACCCATTCATTTCTTGGGGCCCTTCCGTTGACATCCGCTGAAAAATGTATCGCAAAGCAGCGGATCAGAAAGAAATCCGAAGGTACAATTGCAAGTCAACAGGCCCTCCATTGACTTGGGATTTCCTTCCAATTTTGGTGTGAATGCATCCTAAAGGGTTCAAATTTGTGTGCTTGCACCACTGTCTGTGTTCAGGCTCTGGACTAGCACTAGTTGGTCGAGCATAGCCCGATATCTCCCCACTCCTTGTAACTGGAGATACATCTGCTCATTTATGGAGAGCCATACTGTCCACACGTTACCATACAGCAGGGATAGGCATACTCTGGCCTTCCAGCTGTGGTGCAACTACAAATCTCCTTAGGCACTGCAAGCCTCTGACAACCAAAGGCATGATTCCCAGAGGCAGATGCATGATGGGATTTGTAGTTTCACCTCAGCTGGAGGGCCCTACAGTTTGAAGCAGCAACATAGAACATTATGGGTGTCTAATTGTCCCTGGGACCCGCTACCAGGCAGCTACATCTAAATAGCCAGAATCATAATCAAAACGCCTCCGACTTTCCAGATAACGATTTTGAAGAGTCCAGATTGTATATAGGGTTGGTATTATGAGACTATATTCAGAATAGTTGCTGAGGCTGGCAGCACTGGGAGGGGTTTACATGCCCTGAGTTTTGCTTTCAAAGCTGAAGCCCAGAGACCTATGAAAAAAACGCCAAAATCGGTTTGCGACCACGTTCCTAGGGGTCAGAATGGATTAACATTATTTACATTAACCCTTATGGGGAAATTTGATTTGGTCCGTGACCATTTCGGTTCGCGACCAGAATCGTGGAACGAATTGAGTTCATGAACCGAGGTACCACTGTACTTACGTTATTCCTCCCTCCTGCAGGCTCCCTCCTCTTTGTGAGACAGCTCCCCTGAAGCCCCTTCCCTTTGCTGCCTGACCAGTTGCAGTTCTCTGATGACTTTCCATACAATGCAGGACCAGCAGTCCTCAAACCAGGACTTGGGACAGTAGAGGAGAGCAGCTGCCGGGGAAAAATATCCCATTATTCCTTATTTCCTATGTGAAATGAGCAGTTAACATTTGTAGTGGGATGGGGGACCTACAGCCAGGGTAAAGATTTTTCCTTCCTGTGGTTTAGCTTTAATCACATTAGAAGTATGCAGACCAAATGTACCTTTTACTGTAATTGGCCGCCTTTGTGATGTAACATTCCATTGCCTTTCAGGTAGAAGAGGAAATACAAACACTCAGCCAAGTGCTAGCCGCAAAGGAGAGGTATTTAGCCGATCTGAAAAGAAAGCTTGGAGTAACTCCGCTGAGTGAACTGAAGCAGAACATTTCCAAAGGCCTACAAGATGTTGCCTCCACCAATGTGTAAGTTCAGTTCTTTATATGCAGTGTTGCGGCTGCTGCCTACAGATATGTAAAAAGGACCATTGTAATTTTTATGTAGATATGTCAGTGCTCTAGAATGTTTTCCTCCATTGTCCTGCTGCCCATACACGGAAAGCAAAAACCTCAATCAATAAATTGTATGTTTTACAAAATGATTGTAATAAATGAGCTGTGATCAAGCCATAATGGTGGAACGCGTGAGAGTTTAAGGCTAGGTTTACACTTAGCCACTTTATCGTGCAAACTAGAGATTTGCATTCAAGTCTATGGAAGCTGTCCTTTGTGATTTGTCGCTCAGTAGAAATCTCCTGTAGCGCAAAAAGGTGCAGGAGCTATTTTCAGGCAGTTGTTGCGCGATTTGGGTACCATATATATCTCTATGCATTGAAAATCGTGCGACAACTGCGCGGTTTTCAAATCGCTCAAACAAAAACGCGCGACAAACGCACGAAAACAGCTCACCAGTTCAATTGCCTAGGTGTGAACCTAGCCTAAAGTTGTGCGCCAGTGTACAGTTTATTTATGCTCATGGACTAAACTGCGTGTGGAAAATTTATTTCTGGAGTGCGGCTCCCCTTTTTTACACTTGGATTTAGTGTACTAAATTAATGTTTCACACAAACTGCCATCTGATTTCATCCAGACAAATCCATCATTCCTAAAGAAAATCCATTTATACGGGCAAAACTGATCTTTTTAATTTGTTGTGGGAAACTGTCATTTTTTGAGCCAGTGGATTGTTTACAAAGCAGTCACAGGATTGCAATATTTTGAAGGGATTTGATACAACAGAATACTGATAACCTACCCAGGACGTTTGAACATATGATGCATTCATAACTCTCAACTGTCCCTCATTTACAACCAAGTCCCTTTGTTCAAAGGAAAAAAGAGGATTAACTCGTTAGGAGGTAACGAGTCAGCAGCGGTCAGCTAAAGGATCCGGACAAGCAGCCAATATGCAAAAATTAAATTTTATTAGAAAAAATCATTGAAACAACACAGTAAAGACAACACATTCAAAACACCTCTCACCATTAAAAACTTTTTGGTTACAGACATACATGAATAATTGCGGATCGATCCTCATAAATTATTAACCTAAAAACCCCCCGATACGGAAAAAAGGTGCTGAGTGCTTCTCCCTATCATCTTCCATAGGGGCTCCCTGCAGAACATACCCTGAGTGTGCACCTGTAGATGTTATAAAATATGAAAAAAGAGGAGACTGCTCGGATCAGTCGTCATGAGATATATATCATTCACTTTGAGTGAGACATTGTAGCCATATGTAGACTATATTAGCGTACTGCTTGACAGTAAAGAAGTCTCGTTCTCAGTTCACAGAGTATGCTCTCTTTATTTAATCCCAAATTCTCTTTCTTAGAGATCCTTATTCATTCGTGTAAACTTGAATATTCCTTTATGTTCGATATTAATGTCGCCGGCAAACTGGCCGCGTGAATCATTGATTCCTTTTTGTTCATAAATAATGAACTGTGACAGTTTAGGAATAATCAGACGTATAACTATTCGTTTGTACACTTTGTACATGATTGTCTGGTCACGGATCGGTCTAAATAAGCGAATATGCAAACCTGAATTAGGGCGTATAATTAGTCGGATCTCCAGGTAGGAACACCAACCCCTTTTCTTCTAAGTCCCTTTGTTCCTCTTTCTGGTTTGATGTACAGATATCTATGAAAAATATACTTTTTAAAGTAACACTAAACTCAAGAGTTACATTTTTAAAATGTGTACATTTAGGCTCTGTTCACACCTAGGCGTATGGAATATGCGCGATTGTCGCTCGTTTTTACCGCGATTCGCGGTAAAACAAATGCGCGTTTCCAAGGGCTACTTGGTTGTATCCCAATGGAAACGCGCAACAAAAACGCCGCAAAAAAGCTCATGTACCTTTTCAGGCGTAGGCCGTTTTGTAGCGCGTTCAGACGGGCTGAAATACGGCAAAGTGTGAACCATACCCATAGAAAACAATGGGATTTTCATGTTTGAGCGTTTTGTAGAACGTTCGTAGAGCGTTGAACGCGCTACAAAACATACAGGTGTGAACCAGGGGTAACTATTAACAAAAATGTGTCTTATTTGTGTATCACTCGGCTGTAGATCCTCAAATCATCTCTGAATTGGTGCCGACACTGTCCGTCCTTCCGGAGGGTGGCTACTTTTGTTCCCCTTGATCCCTGTATGTTGTGTAAAGTAGTTGATGCTGTCAATCACTAGAAAGGGGACTTGATGGAGAACTTCAGGTCCCCCTCTGCTGATTGGCGGCAGCAGCAGAGGGCGGGTGCAATAGCTGGTTTGTTATTGGCTATTGCAAGGTGAAATTGCCAATAGGAATCTAGCTATGCATTCCTCCTGGTTTTTTTTCTTTCTTTCTGACTGACGGCGGCCTGCAGGCCCCGATGTCAGAAAAAGAAAAAAAAAAAACAGAGCAGAGAAAGGTTTACTCTGGTTGACCGAGCAGAGTAAACCTTTCCGGGGGAAAGTTTTTTTTTCTCTGACTTACGGCGGCCCTGATGTCAGTAAAAACAAAAACAGGGCAGAGAAATGTTTAATCTGCTCGATCGAGCAGAGTAAACCTTTCCGGGAGAAAGTGATTCTCTCCCGGGGCGGCCGGGAGCCGCTAGGCGACCCCTGGCAAATCGTCATTCGACCCCCGACGAGGTCACGACCCACAGGTTGAGAACCGCTGATTTAGTGTATTAAGGCTCGGCATGCAATATGATCAATGTGTGGAACATGGTGTTGCCAAGCTGAGATCACAGTCTGTCAAAAATGACTTTCATAGTCAGCTATGAAGTCTGCTCATTTATGGCTTATGTGCTTTGCTGATGCAGGGAAAAGCAACAGGTTAACTTAACTGCTTTCTTCTATGCTTCATATACCTATCTTCCTTTGGATCCTCTGACATTTTGTTTGGCTGGTATGCTGACCTACTGGCCTCAGTCTTTTCTAAATGACTAAGCCACAACAAGTATTCAGATCAGGAACGTCAGAGAAAACTCAGAAGTCCATATCTGCATACTTGATTGGAGTAGGTAATTAAAGTGCGTCTAAACACACAAAAAACATATTACAGCTTAGCAGTCCTTGGATGTGGCGGCTGCATTCATTTTTTCATTTTTTTCCCCTATATTTTTTTTAACTGCTGCTCCTTTAAATAACACACTTTCCCTTGTTCTGGTAAGATCGTCAGGTGTTTTCTGTACTTGCTGAAAATGTTCTTGGGCTGATAAACAAAAACTAATACAACCATCGCATCTAAGGACTGTTAAGCTGCAATATATTTTTAATAGCAATACACTGAAAAGACATTTTTGGACCGAAAACTAAAATAAAATGTTGTCAGGCCAAAACAGAAACCAAAACCAAAAATTATGTTTTTTTTCCCCCAACCTTTTTCTAAAATCTTTAAAATGATTTTATTTTTATTATTTATTTATTTTCATAACTGTCAGGGGCTCTGGGGAAATATTAGGGGTCTAATCAGACTCCTGATATTTCTCTTTTAAAATCGAAAAAGAGATTGAGGACACACTTGTGACAGCTGACTCCTCTCTCGCAGCACTCGGCATCCTGAGCGCTCTCCTCCCTGCACCGCCACACTCGGCCTCCTGAAAGCTTCTCCCCTCCCCGCTGGATGCCGGTCTCTGTTCCCTCGAATCCCAGCTGCCTCTCCTGACACAGGCAGGGAAGACCAGTGGGCATTGGAGGGCACACAGATCTGCGTCCAGCGGGGAGGAGATAAATTAGGGCTGCGCTGAATATTCGGCCGCACTTTTTGCATTTTGCCCAAAGTACCATTTTTGGATAAAATGTTTTGGCAGCCGAAATTTAGGTACAACCGTAAATTTTTCATTTTAGTTCTGCTGTAAGCCAAAGGGGTCAGCATGACGACGTTTGGAAGAAGTGGTCAGCAATGCCTCTGTTTTTAAGCTACAACAATCCCCCTTTAAAACATTGATAAAATGAATTCAAATTAGGCTGATTGTATTCACATAAAACTTTATTGTAATGTTAAAAGTTTGTGTTGTGTCACCTTTTACAATCATGTAAACCAATACAGCGGTCATCTCACTAGTTTCTTGTTTGCAGGTACAGGAAAACCTCGGAGACCCTGTCCCATGCTGGACAGAAAGCCTCAGCAGCCTTCTCCACTGTTGGTTCTGTCATTACGAGAAAATTGGAAGATGTAAAGTAAGTATTTAATCCGCCAGATAACTGTGAGTTCTGTAATTGCTTTCATATTATTACTGGATATTGGTATTTTAGGTACATCTTCCTGGAGCCAATTTCTTCCACAGAGGGAAGCTGTCCTGTTGTAGTTCTTACTGCAGCCCCCCCTGTCTCTACCTTGTTAATCTGTGTTTGAGCCTAGTGATTGACAGGTGCAGAGAACTGTACAAAAAATAATAAAATGTGCACTTATGCAAATTTATGATCATAATGTCAAAGATACTCTCTGGACAGGATGCAAGTGTTTTGCCTTTTACATAGCCAACATAAAACGGCGACATTCACTGCAGCCAACATATTTCATTCTACTTATAATGTTGTACAGTGACACCAACACATAAGCGTTATTGCGTCACAGAAGGAGCGAGTATGCATGGGAATGCAAGTTACATGCTGTGTAACATGACTTGTTTGACGTATCTCACAATCCTCTGCCCTCATGGAAGAAATATTCTATTAACACACAGAAGATCATTTTACTCTTTTGATTTAAAGTTTATCTTAACCCAAAACCAAAACTGTTATATGTATCAGCTTACCAATCTTTGACTGTGGTGGTTGCATTTGTTTCCTTTTACGAAGGTCACCCTGCATATGAAGGAAACAAAGGAAATGCAATGTAACAGTAACATTGCTGTGTTGTATTACTCAGTTAAAGGAGAACTATGGGGTCAGTGTTTTTCCCATTAGTTCTCCTTAGGGTAACTGGAGGACACAAACTAGCGTCCTCCCGTTACCCTAAGCTCAGTATACCGCGAGCTACAGCTCACGGTATACTGAGACGCCGCAGCCGGAGCGGATCCCGACTTAGATGACGGGATCCGCCCAGCTGCGTGAGTGGCCATGTATTGACTGCTGTATGGTACATGAACACTTTACACATATGTATCCTATATGTATACTCTCTAAGAGGCAGATTTGTTAAAACAGGCAAAATAATAGTAGAGTTTGTTCTCCATGGTGATCAATCAAAATTCTAATATGTTTTCTTTTAAATGAAAATGTTAAATTTATTGACCACAGCTGTCAACTGCTCTGCTTTATTTCTGATTTTCTTTACCCCTGTGTTATGAAGCAACCTCTATGGGCCATTTCCACACCAGTCTATATTTAAAACATAATAACTAGTTCCCCCCGACATTGTTCCACCAATTACATTATTGCACTGTGTATGCTGAATGGTTTTTATTTCCAGCCATTGAATCTCCATCTTACTGACATACTCCTTTAAAGGAGAACTATGGGGTCAGTGTTTTTCCCCATAGTTCTCCTTAGGGTAACGGGAGGACACAAACTAGCGTCCTCCCGTCACCCTAAGCTCAGTATACCGCGAGCTACAGCTCGCGGTATACTGAGACGCCATCTAGGTCATCTTGAGGCCGTTCAAGGGGGAACCGGGAGAGGGCATCAGCATTCCCATTGGAGCGCCCTGGCTTGTAGTGAATGGTATAGTTGAAACGGGCCAGTCGTGCCACCCAGCGTTGCTCCAAGGCCCCCAGTTTAGCAGTCTCGAGGTAGGCCAGAGGATTGTTATCAGTATATATGTCCACTCGACCACTCACTAAGTACTCGGCAAACTTTTCAGTGATGGCCCAGACCACCGCTAACAACCTCGAGTTTAAAAGAACTGTAGTTGACTGGATTAAGCTCTGTGGGGCGCAAACTCCGACTTGCATATGCGATCACACGTTCAGTTCCATCTTGCTCCTGAGCGAGCACATGGTCCTTGAAGACTGGCATCAGTGTACACCCGGAAGGGTTTACGGTAGTCAGCGTAAGCCAATATAGGAGCAGAAGTCAACTTCTCCTTGAGGGCCCCCAAGGCCTCACTTTGTGCTGGCCCCCAACTGTCGCTAATACTGGGGGAAGATTTCCCTTTTCGGTGGGCAGGCTGTCCACACAGCAATTGGGAAACATTTTGGCGCCATTCATGCTAGGGTACGATTAGGTGCTTTTAAATGCGTTTAACATGGTTTTCTAAACGCATATATATGCACCTAATGATTTCCAATGGATCGATTCACACCTTGCATTTAGATGCTTTTAGATGCAGTCAGTTTAGCTATGTTTAGAAAAAATAGAAGTCGGGTGCATCCAGGAAGCAATTTTAGCCTCTAAACGCACCGAAGCACATGCAAATTCATGTAAATGCAATATGCGCTTTTTTGGTGAAATCTCATTGGCTACCTCAATGGATAAAGGACAGATGCATCTAAACGCATGTGTGTGTCAAGGCGCGTCATGTTAAACATCTAGAAGCATAAACAAAGCATCCAGCCTAACAGATTTTGCAGACAAACGCAAAAAAAAACCCGCAAGTGGACAGTGTGGATGAGGCCTTAGGAGTAAGTGGCAAACCAAAGTTTATAACTGGTGTAAAATATCTGGGAAACCACAGTTGTCAGCATAAACATGAATTAATAAGTCAAATAAATGGAGCGGACTAAATGGAGCACTTCATCTGTTGTGAATAGTCTATGATTCCACTTCTAAAGTCCCAGCATACAGTATACTATCCTGTTATAACATCAGCATTGTAATATGACTACATACTAGAGTTCTTTGTGATCATGCAGTCACAGCTTACTTAAACCAGAACCCCAGGATGTGCAAAAATTAACCCATGCAGTGGTGCTACCCCTGCACTGCAAGGCTTACATTTTTGTTTTAGTCTAGGGGTCAGAATAAAGAAAATATACTGGCCCGATCTTCAGTCAGACATGTGTGGCAGTCAGCGTTCACCTCTATGTCGCGCTGCGTCCTCATGTGTACTGCAAGTGAATGGACCTTGCATTAGATGTGATGATGTCACGGGTCCTTAGACCGCTGGAGCCCGGGGGACAAGAGGCTGCAGGGATTTGGTCTAGCAGCCAGGATCGAGGATCAGGTAAGTACAGTAAACTCCCCTTTATCCAGCATTCAAGGAACTGGCAAAAAAAACAAAACATGTCCTCGATTTTCTCCCCAGCTTGGTGCACACTAAACAAATTTCATTAGCATCTAACTAAATGTATTTAGTGGCTAACGAAATTCTTTGTTTACAGCTTGCTGCTGTACGGCGGCTAGATTCCGTGGTTGGCAGCAGAATGTAAACAATTGTAAATTGCAAAAGCCGATAGCAGTCTGGCTATCATGCCCGCACACTGAGCAGAGGAGTGGGCCCGAGAGAGAACTTTATCTCTCAGAGCCGCTCCTCTGCTTGGTGGGTGGGGTTTCAGTAGTCAGCCTGCTATTGGCCATTGCAATTTGAAATAGCCAATAGCAATCTGGCAATATTGTTCCCGGTTGCTTACATTCACCTGTTGGCTGTGGAAGCTAGCTGGCAGGTGAATGGGGATGCAGGAGGGTGAGGTGCTGGGGGTGTGTGGTTGCTTGAGAGTTACTATTAACTCTCAAGCAACCAGAAACTACAGTTATCCAGCACCTACCGATCCCTGTGGGTACTGGATAACTGGGAGTTTGCTGTATATCTTTAATCTATCCTCTGGGGAAAAATTAGCATTAAACCCTTGCATTGTAGGGGTAGCCCCACTGCAAGGGTTTATTTTTGCACATCCCAGAGTTCTGCTTTCAAAACTCCCTTTTTTGTAGTGACTGCTGCTCATCACTTTCAACAATCCTAGTGTGCTTTGCGTCTCTTTCCCTGCTGCTTCATGTGATGCAGTCTTGATTTCTCAAGATGGCATAGCCCATCATGCATTGCATCCACCATCTTGTCACATTGTGGGAAGTGCAAACGTTGAGTTGTTGTTCAGACGGCAACCTTAGTTAGAGTGGTGATGAAGGAAGTGCATATTCACAGGGCTGAGGGACATTTTGTCAGTGCATTGAGGAAGTAGATCAATGTGGTTATAAGTAGTGGGATAGAACTTATGGAAATTCAATACAAATACTCCTCAATTATCGACCTACCTGTTTAGCGACCAGTCGTACTTACGACGAGCTCTCCGACGGTACGTGCGGGAACGTGGCATCTCACCGCCATGCATGGCTTCATCTTGCATACTCCATTCTCTGCTCCGCTACTATTCTCAGTCAGTATTTACACTTCTGTTTTTACAGATTTACACTACAGTACTGACCATCTCCAACACTACAGTACAGTATGGCTATGCTGCTGACCACACATTCCAGCTGCCCTAGGCCTTGTTGGTTATCCTGATACAGTATCCAGCCCAGGATCTCTCTCAGGCCCAGGCCCCGAAAATAAGACCTAAAGGCAGAGTGATACCAAATGCACACCGCCTGTGAGGAGTCCATAGTGAAAGCGCACTTCGCTTCATTTCTACATGAATAACTGTGGATTGTTGTACATTTAAAAAAAAAAAAAAGACCTACCCCGAAAATAAGACCTAGTGTGTTTCTTTGAGCCCAAAAAAATATAAGACAGTGTCTTATTTTCAGGGAAACACGGTATACACTTCCTCGCTTACCTACCAATTCGCTTAACGACCTGGTCATAGGCACATAACTCAGTCGTTAAGTGAGGAGTATCTGTATAGAAATATTTATTTTTGACCATGAATACCCTTTCATTTTAGTTTCTTGTCGTTGGTCTCACTGTAGTCCTGCTCTTGCATATATTAGTGTTTATATTTTGTGTACGTATTGTTCTTACCCCCTGCAGGATTGGTGAAATAAGGTTTCTGTTGCTGGAAGAAGATTTTCATCGCCAGAACATGTACTGTTTGAATGTACTTTTTATGTTTTGACAGAAAATTTCTCTTTGTGAACTAAGCTGCTAACACAATGTGACATTTTAATTTAGCTCGGTGTCCTTGGCTTTTGTGCAGCTTGTAATCTTTATTCTTTCAGTTCAATTTGGACATTTACTTCAAAGAGAAACAACTTTGTGCTCAGTGTGGTCAACACGCATCAAAATCAAGCTAACTGCTGAGAAATGTGAAAACCATGTAATAATACTGTCACAATCATTAACTGAAGAGGACTTCATGTAGTGATCAAGCATTAAACAATCATCTCATCAAGAGCTTAGTGGCATACTCTGATGTTTGCAATCAGTACAACTGATTCCAGCATTGCTTATCTTATTTAGCCATTGTAAGGGTGCAATAATTATCACAAGTAGAAAATAAGTGTTGGCACATGATTGTGGATCCAGTACAAATATTCTTTATTTATTCAAGGTATTAAACCAGAGATAGTAGTCTTACTAACGCGTTTCAGCCAAAAGTATCCTTAATCGCTGCTATGATTAGGGTTTCTTTTAGCTAAAATGTATTAGTAGGACTGCTATGTCTGGCTTTATGCCTTGAATAAATGAAGATGGATATTTACTCAATCCAGTGCTGTGTGCCAAGACTTTTTTTCTACGGTTTATGATGAAGGGCAGATGAAAACCCTGGTTTCGCAAACAGGGTTCAATGGAACTGCATTGGAGGAAGGAGGTAGAGCACTTTCTGTTTTGTCTTGTTAGCTTATCTTTAATTATAATGAGTGTCAATTGTGCATATTTGTAATGGCAGAAAGTTTGAAGTATTTTAGATGATCTCACCAACTGGTAGGTGTATGGGTCTCTTTTCTCCATGGAAGAGCAAATGATCTTTTCACTTGGAGTTGTCACATAGAATAGTCGGTGGCAGATGTGTCATCTTGAACCATTATGAGAGGTTTGCAAGCCAGTGAGTGTCTTGGCGCTCTTGGAACATGCGTTTATCTAACAAGTTCACCCAAGCTGTGGGTCACAAAATCAACTATATAGATCAAGGCATCATCCCATGAACAGTTTCTGTTGGAGCTGTAAAATCAAAACTGTTGGTGGAAGGTTGACTTGATCTGTTTTTGCCTTCAAATGTTGGTTGAAATTTCAAGACTCGTGCTCAATTGTATGGCTAACAAATTCTTTAGTCATTGATACACAGCTTTCATGTAAATTTACAGTCTATTAAAGAATGAGATGAGTAAATTCACAAATTCTGGTTTTGTACTATGTAGAAAAAAAACTATCCTGGGACCTGAGGTTTGTTCAAGCCATGTGTCTTTAGCTTGAAAACATTGGGGCATATTTATACAGTTGTTCATCTCACATTCACTATACATTCACCGCAGCTAAATCTTCCTGTTGCACATGTGTTAAATGACCGATTTACCACCAGTGAATGTTTGGTGAAAGTCACCTTAACTGCTTTCTAAATATGCCACATTGTGTTTTATTACATGCTGGCGCGGTCTTAAATTGTATTTGAAACTAAAGAACAAAAATATAATATGAAATCAGTGGACATTCAATATACACTGCCGATCCAAAAAAGTCACCACCTGGATTTATCTAAGCAAATAGGTCAGAGCCTTCCATTGGATACGTGTTTTGATCAGGGGTTGCTTCAGTTGGTCAGGTCTAGGTTTAGCAATGTTATGTGTCCAAAAAATGAGGTCAGCTGCCTACCTGAATATACTGAATGACCAGGTTTTTCCATCAATTGATTTTTTTTCTTCTCTGGTGGTATGGGCATATTCCAAGATGACAATGCCAGGATTGATTGGGCTCAAATTGTGAAAGAGTGGCTCAGGGAGCATGAGATATAACTTTCACACATAGGTTTGCTACCACATAGTCCAGACCTTAACCCCATTGAGAATCTTTGGGTTGTGCTAGAGAAAACTTTATGCAATGGTCCGACTCTCTCATCATCACTACAAGATCTTGGTGAAGAATGAATGCAACTCTGGATGGAAATAAATGTGTTGTTGCATAAGCTTATCGAAACAATGCCACTTGGAATGCGTGCCGTTACTCAAAGCTGAAGGCAGTCCAATTAAATATTAGAGTGTGTGACTTTATTTTGGGCAGGCATTGTATAATTGTATAATTAACAGAGAAGGTGCACGTGATAGGAGACCTTAACTTTCTTACAAAATAAGAAGCTGGCATGGGGCTTGTCCATCTATCCGTTGCTGTATGCAAACTAAGAACTTTGTTTTATTGAAATTTTACAAGTGGTGTAGTTTCTTTTGATGGTTAACAGGCTGAGTGATGGGGAACTTTTGTATTTAACTTTTATTTTTAGGTTCATTGGCTACCTGGCTCTCAGGATTTGCCCAAACTTCCCATTAAAATATAATAGTATAATAATGTTTAATGCCACATGGTGGCCATGTGGTTAGTATTGTCTTCCCTTGGAACACTGGAATGCAGGGCCTAATTCTGACTTTGGCTGCATAGTATTTTTTTCTGCAGGCAGGCTTTTTTATTCTCCGTTCATATTTCTTTTGGTAGATGCAGAGTGTGTGTATGAATGACTGGGGAGGTACCTTAGATTGTAAGCTCCTCTGAGTCAGGGTTGATGTAAATGGCTCAGTGCTCCCTGTTGCACACATGTGTGGGAATGTGTGGACACCTGATGTCATATTACATTTTTATTTAATTTATTTTTATTTCAGTTATTTTATGGAACTGATCATTTTAGGTTACCACAACTTCTACACTGTGTGGATTTGTACATCATATGCTATTATTAAAAACAAAAATGATAAAATCATATGCTATTATAAAAAAAGTAACAACCGTGAAGCAACATTTGCAGAAATATCCCGTGTATCTAAACCTAAAAACAAGAATGTTATATATTGCAGCTTACCAGTACTTAGATGTGGTGGCTGCATTAGTTTTCTTTTTTTCAGGCTTTTATTCCCTTAATTTTACCTGGTAATCCTGCAAATTACACACTTTCTATGCTTTCGTGTCTACATATATTTCTCCATTGTATCCATTGGGGCAGCTATGGTGGTCGCACAAGCTGTACTTCAAAATGTCTGCTTTTGTTCATCTCCGTTACAAGGTTGATTGACGGAACTAGTAGTTTACACAACAAAGATAAGAATTGATGTGTATCTTTTATGCTCACAGGAAGTGACAAGTAAAGTGCATTTCTGACAAAATCAATAGGTATTTTCTGTAGAATATGTATGTGAATAACAAAAAAAAAAAACACTCTGCTGTTTGTTCACCAAAATAAATACATTTTGATGAAAAACTTTCTAAAAAAAAGTTGTGATACAAATAATGTGAATAAACTAATAAATATGCAGCTATTTTAAATGGTTGTATGACAATACAGATAATCAAAGAAAAAAACAGTGCTTTTACCTATTCATATAAATGTAAGCAGTCGTGCATACAATAAGAAACTCAAATGTGGGAAAAGTTGCAAAAACGAGTCCCAGTGATGTAAAAAGTTCCACAACAGTGAAGTCTCTGAATACAAAGTTCCTTCAAGAACTTCGGAGTCCAATCCCAGTGAGACCACCATCCAAAACCGCTGACTATATAAAACTCACCAAATAAAGGGGACTCTTATTATAGACAGCCTTCTTGGATTAACATGGCAGCAACCAAATCTATCATGACTCTCTAGGATCCTCCTTCACCATGGACCATAGGCAAACACGGAGACACAGGTAGATCTGATCATGTGATACCATTTACTTAACACACAATGTAAGGATAAAAAACGATATTTACAGTTTCATAGTGCAATACATCACACATACAGTAGCATGCAGGTAGGTACTATTCCTTCAGCAGGGTAGGGAGAAGGTATTTTCTGTACTGGCTCAAAATGAAAATGTTTTTAGCCTGAAAAATGAAAACTAATACAGCCACCACATCTATGGAGTAATAAGCTTTAATATGTTAAATGTTGGTTTTGGGGTTTACATGCACTTTGAGGGCCCATTCACACCAATTGCGGTGCGTTCTAGAGCGGCTGCTGGAACGCACAGTGATCGCTTACAAAACTACCCCCTTCGTTCTGGGGCGGGAGGGGGGCGTGGTGGTGCATTGAAGTCAATGGCACTGCAGCCCCGCCTGCAGTGCGATCGGACATGTGGCAAAACATTGTCTGCGTTCTGGTCCACTGTGAACGCAAAGAATAGCGCATGCAGCATTTTTTGCGTTTGCAGTGGCCTGGAACGCAGGCAATGTTTTGTCACGCGTCCGATCGCACTGCAGGGGGGAGTGACTGCGGTGCCATTGACTTCAATGCACCGCCAGGCCCTCTCCCACTCCAGAACGAAGGGGGTAGTTTTGTGAGTGATTGCTGTGCGTTCCAGCAGCTACCGCTCTGGAACATACCACAATTGGTGTGAATGGACCCTAAAGTGTAGTTCCACTTTTGCAGCCAAATTAGGACAACACCTATCTTATGTCTGTTACATGTTCTCATTCACATACCATAGCTTAAAAAAATTGCATTCATTTTTAAATGCTTTATACATGCGTAAAAATCCTATCTAGCTTCTCCTCGTATGTAATGTTAAGGGGGGGGGCTCCGGGAAGTTCTGTTTACTCTAATTAACCCCGTCTGTACTGGCAGATTTCACTCATTTGTTAATTAGAATTAAATACTGTCTGTCCTAACAAAGGGTTAAAGACCTAGAAGCATTGTATGCTAAGAAGGGGAAGCTCAGAGTGAAAAGTAAAAGTACAGGGTCAAACTTCTCAGAGTAACCTGGAATCTGCAGAAAGGCCTTCACCAAAGAAACATATAAAAGGTAAAAAAAACTTTTTTGCTTTTCTGTGTGAAATGGGAACACATGACAAACATATATAGTGGGGTTTTCTCAAATTTGACTCCAAAAGTGGAAATACACCAAGTTTGTTCTCTTCAGAATTAACCAGTTAGAATGCAATAGAAATAATAATGAATGATGTATTTATTTATCAAAATGAAGCAGTGTGTTGTATTATATTGAATGCTCGGATAGTTTCTAAACTTTGACTAATGCCATCTTTCTTTCCCTTACTGCTGCACATTAGTATACGCTCTATACAACATTCCATTAGTATGCCTGCTATGAGGTAAAGTATTGAGTTATAAGCCCGGTTAGAAGTGTGCATGTCTTTATTATCTATGGTTCTGCATTTCGCCCTCAATATTCTGCAGGTAGAGTCTAGATGTCTTGTGAAACACTTCCCCATTACCGTCTATATATATCAAGCCCAATGGCCAAAGCTTTTTTTTTTACAATTAGGATTACTAGTTAAGAACTCTCAGGAAAAAATGTATTAACCCTTTCAGTGGGGCTACCGCTGCACTGCACGGGTTTAAGTGTTTGTTTTTGTCTAGGTTCAAAAATAACAAAGTTATACTCACACAAAGCTCCGAGGTGGTCAGATGTCACAGTGCTCACTGAAGCCCCTCTGCCGCAGATTTTGAAATGTCTCTCGGCATCCTCACTTCTATACACTGTGTATAGAACATGATGCGTTATAGGACCTTAGCCCACTGCAGTGGAGGGGGAAAGAGGCTGGAAGGACCGGTCTAAGAGCCACCCGTCTCCATGGTTCAGGTGAGTACAACTTTTTTTTTTTTACCAAGACAAAAACGAGCAGTTAACCCTTTCAGCGCGGGGGTTGCCTCACTGCAAGGGTTAATAAAACTATTCCCGCAGTTCTTCTTTAAGAACCAACCACTACAACAATAAAATACCTCTCCAGAGACTTGTGAGGCCAGTATCTATGTAATGTAATTATCATGGTATTAAACAGAATTCTGACTTCCAATCTGTTTTGTCTAGGAATTCACCTACATTCAAGTCCTTTGAAGAGAAGGTGGAAAACCTAAAGGTATGATAATAAACTTTATTTAATTTTTGATTGGTAGACATTCAATAGAACTCCGGCTTCCATGGCAATCACTCCCGGCTTCCTGATAATCCAGGCCCACGGATGCTGGTATCGGTATTCCGTATCAGCGAGTACCGAAATGGATAAGCCGGTGTCGGTGCATCCCTACTCTGTATGTATGGATTCTGTATAGTACCACCTGTCTTGTTCTTTATGTTGAGTGTAACTCCAATCATATGGGTGCTTTCTAGAACCAGCGTAAAGTCCATTAACCAATCGCTCTCAGAAACCGCTTCCAAAGAAAAAAGTGTGGGTGCTACGTTAGTCGACAGCTGGCAACCGTGGTAGATAACAAGTAAAATATGAAGTGATCACTTGTTCTGCCTGATGAAGGGGATCCTGTGTGACCCTGAAACGTTGCATTAAGTGTATCACACTATGCCACTCATACATCAAATAAACAGACATATTTGATTCACTATTGGAGTGCCGGTGTGTCTTCATAATCTACTTTCTGGAACCATTCTCCTTTTCTGTATGATAGGTGTAATTCTCAGCATCTGTTTTTATTCTGTATGTATCATTGATGCACAGTACAATTATCTTGTTCTACAGTATATGCTGGGCGGACTTCTCAGTATATGAGGAATGTTATGTCTACATAGACACTGCATAGTACAACTTCTCTTGGCCTTTGAAAGTGATTCTTATCATTCATATGTCTGCTCAACAATTATTATTTTATTTTTTTACTATATACATTTATAATTCTCCTTTTTAAACCATGCCATTGAACCATTTAGTCATGGCCAGTTTTGCCCCTCTCTTATCACCCTAGGGTCTCCCAGGTTGACATCTTTGTGGCCTGGGGCACATGTAACTCCTGTCCTACACCTCGTACTGTGAGTGTTTGACCAGCCAGCCACCAGACATAAATGTCGTCACATAGTGCTGATATCAGGGAGTGCGCATAGCCCTCTGTCTCTGCTTTGAGAAGGTTGAAATTTGCTTTGGAATAGTAGGGCACTGTGGTGGTAGTTTGGAGAGCTTAGGAGGCCGGAGACAAGGGGTACAGGCCGACCACTTATGGTGTCTTCTATGAAATAACACTGTTAGTTGGTCTAATACTGGCAGTGTACAAGTTTGCTTTGAGTACACGTTGTCTTTTGCAGACTCATAATTAAAATAACTGCATTTGTTTTATATTTTAGTCAAAAGTTGGTGGCCCCAAACAATCAGCTGGAGATTTTGAAGAAGTGTTGAACTCTGCAGCCAATGCCAGTGCCACAGAAGACCTGACAGAAAAGGACGAGGAGAGTCATTGAGACCAACGATACACGCAGCCAAAAATTAAAAAGCACATCCAGAGCGCCCTCTTGTGTCCTCACCAGACATTTCTACGTTTCTTGTTTTCACTGCTTTGTGTCTCCCACCTAATTTTAGATAGCGACCCCTTTAGCAGGAAAGAGGGTAGATGGTGTACGTTCTGCGTTAGAAACCTTGTAAACACATCAAGCCAAAAAATAATTGGTGGGCAGGGAAGATAAAGGGATTTGTTACGCTTAATACTCCTCCGTAACTGCCAATATGTTTTGTTACACTGGATTCTTTATTCACTGTGTAGACACTAAAGTTGATACAAAATGTGTGCAGTAACCAATGGACATAGTCTGTGTACTTTAGAGCTTTAACTCTGTTATTCTGCAATTTCCATGTCCAGAAAACTTCCACACATCATTATTGCCTGAATTCTGAAATAAAAGTTTCTACAACAGTTGTTTGAAAGGGAGGTGAGATAATTTTTGAATAAATACATGTTTTCCATGTCAATGGACTTCTTGATTATTTTAGTGTGTAATAACTTTGTTTAGGAGTGTAGTCTAATGTTTCTACCAGTGTTCATCTATATTTGTTAGAGAGCAGCCACTTCATTTCACATGGTGCTCTACCATACACAAGGGTGATAATACAGGTATATAAGTTTGTCAGATGATCAGTAACATTGTACTCTAGAATAGATCTGTCTGTACCAGCTTACAGTCACAAGACTAATAAGGGATACATTTAAGACATAAGATTTGGGCCACTTTTCATCATTCCCTTTCTACACTTTCCAAAATCATTTTACTGTAGATTCAGGCCATCCTACACTTTATCATCAGATCTGGCATTAAAACAATCCTTTATATAATATATGTGTGTTTAACCCTTTTGCTGCTACCGTCTTAAAGCTTAAATGGAGGCAGTGGCACGGCTTTTAAATACCTTCCTGATTGCCATAGCCCACACAAGCTGACTGTCAGCCTTGCGTTAGAAGTGATCCGGTTGTACTCTCTAAATGTAAAACTATAGAGGTTGTAGCCCAGATACCTCTGTAGTATCCCAGCCTATACTTTTTTTTTTCTATTTTTGCTTGTTGATCCTGCCAGTTACGTCCACTTATGGATTAAAGTAACTCTGTCTCTTACAAAAAAGTTTGGCCAAGGCCGGGGGAACACCTAAAGATTCCCCCGATGTGTTAGAAACATGCTCGCAATGCTCAGTGGTTCTTCCTGTTGACCTCCACTAATTACAGGACACAGTACTGATGTGGTGGTCAGCAGAAGAAACCACTGGACACTGCAGGGGATCCAGAAATCAGATGTCTCTAGAAGCATTGGGAGAAACTTTAGGTGGGGGTGTTCCTCTGCCTTGGCCGAACTTTTTTGGTAAGAGGCAAAGTTACTTTAATCCGTAAGTGGATGTAACAAGCAAGAATATAAAATAGAAAAATGGTAAAACTACATTCATTTTGTTTACTATGAAGGCTTAAACATTTCTCTCTGCAACAAAATTAAAAGTAGATACCTGAAAAGGTTGTTTTCATGCACTTTGTTGAGGTTGAAGCAAACACGTCATGAACTCTCCAAATGCCTTGATGTATAACAGGCCCCTCCAGTGCTTTGAGGGCCAGTACACACCACCATAACAGAGCTCTGGTGCATTGTGTTACCATTCATTCTGAATGCCACCCCATCGCACCCACTGGTGGGTGTGTATTGTGCTGTGCTGCAAAGCATGGTACCACAGTAGTATGTGTTGTGATGCTGTGGGCCAGACTCAATGGCAGAACAATGCACCATTGCACCTAATGTGCATTGCATTGTGCCATAGCATGCTCTAAATGCACAGGTACTGTGTCTTTAGTTCAATGATATGAGGGTACTTGCCCTAAAGGGGTACTATGGGCAAAATAAATAATGACATATATAATGCAGTCTGTCACAGTCACAAACTTCTATACTGATATGGTTATTAAGAGTGGGATAGAACTTATGGGAATTTAATACAGAAATACATATTTTTAGTTTTTGATGATCGATACCCTTTAAAGCCTTGGTTCTCAACTGGTGGGTTGTGACCCAAAAGTGGGTGCGACACCATGTTCAGTGGGTCGCTGCATGCCTTCCACTTTTCTAGGTGAGAGGCTCCTCTGCCTCCCCCTAGCGCAGCACTGTCAGTTCTCCCGCCAAGCAGCCATTCAGAATATGCTGCCCAGCATCGAGTGTCAGCTTGAGGTGAGATATGATGGGGCTATGGCCGCGAGGGAGCTCCATCCATACGTGCATTGATTACAGCTCCCTCGTGTGTCCTATAGAGGTGCCTGGACCAGAGTAACGCACTGTACCACGCAATCACAACTGTGTTCTGGTGTGGGAGGTATGTTGCGTTGCCATTCGTTTGAATGGTACCCCACCCACAGTTCTATCGCCTGGAACACGCATTACTGAAATGCCGTGCGGTCCATTGCAGTGCGATTTGGGTCGCGACTTAATGACCAAGGACAAATGTGGGTCCTGAGGTTACACAGGTTGAGAACCACTGCTTTAAAGAGACCCCAGAGAAAATAGACACTGTCTGTATCAACAGTAATTTATCAAACATTTACTTACACCAATACAAAAAACTTTGCACAGCTACATTTACAAGGCAAATAGGAAACTATGTACACATATTTAGAATTTGGATCTACATAGGGTCCATCTACAAGTGGTGCAGCTGATGTTGTGCTTTCTAATTGCTGCTATGCCTTTGAGCTAGAAACAACACAACACATTATAAACCCTTTTTTGGCATAACGTTATTGAAATGTCACATAGTAGCATAGGCTCAGCGCGGTGTAATGTGGTATTCTGTACAGGTGGTACTTTTTTCAGTGCACACCACGGAAACACACTGCTGTGAACTGTGTGTAAACAAGGAAAATTGCCTTGTCTGCATTGAGACAACACTGAGCACGGTTTAAAGGGAAACTATACCAAAAGGAAAATATCAACTGACCCACAGCAACCACGCAAAGTAAAGTTAGGGTGACAAGACAGCCAGGCAATTACCATTTTTAAAAGTACATTTCATTAGGGACAGTCTGCAAATGCACAACATGCACCAAATGACTGTACCCCTCAGTTTTACAGTTGTCATGAATTTGTAGGTATAAAAGTACAGTTACCCACCCTCTGTTAGTTGGTGAGGCCAAATCTCTATACTGCATCATAGAGAACAGAGACACAGACAAGAATAAGCTGTTCTCTATACTGCAGTATATGTAAATATAGATTTGGCCTCACCAACTAACTGAGGGTGGATAACTGTGCATGTATATCTAAAAACCCATGACATCTCCTGGCTGGCTCACCAAGAAATGTTGTGGATTTTTAGGTATACAGGTACAGGTATCCTCTGGTAGTTGGTGATGCCAAATCTATATTTATATACTGCAGAATTCAACATATATTCAGCAGATTCTTGTCCGTGTCTCTGTTCTCTATAATGTAGTATATGCAAATATAAATTTGGGTACAGTGATAGAATCTCTTTAACCAGTTGTCGTCTGCCCATTGTATATAAACGGACAGACGGTATGTGCGAATGAGTATTCCTGTAGGACATGGTAACATTTTTAAACAGACTGCGTGGTACGGTGGTACTTTTTTCTTTATATAGTAAAAAAAAATGTAAAAACCCCAGTGGCTAGTAAATACCAACTAAAGAAAACTCTATCTGTCATACAAATGGTATAACATTCATTTAGGTATGGCTTTGCATGACTGAACAAATGTCAATTACAATATCGCAGCGCTGAATACTGAAAAATGGCCTGGACAGGAAGGGGGTTTCACGTGGTTAAAGCAACACTTTCATCAGCAAAAAAGATTTTAAAAGGTTCCCTGGAAAACGAGATATTATGCGTACTTCTCCAATGGCCACCAACTTTAATCCACCATCTGAATCTCCAGTAGTGGATACTTCTGGGAGTGTCTGACACCTGGCTCCTCTGTGATGCAGGTGTCAGAAGATAGGACCATAGTGCCCGGCAGGGGATATAGGCATCTGATAATCTGGGAAGTGAGATTGAGAGTGAGGCTCCCCCTGCACTTCAAGGGTTAAATACTCATTTTATTTAGGGGGGGGGGGGGGCCTAAAAAAAAATTATACTTGCCTTATTCCTCACTCCTGCATTTGTCCTCCCAGCTGCACTACCAGTTCCCCGAAGCCTCTTCTCTTCGCTGCTTCTTTAGTCGCTCCAACTTTGCATCATCACATACAGGGCCTCAGACGGCATCTCTTTGGGTCAAGTTGGGGCAAAGCCTGTCGTTCCCTTTCCGGCCAGAGCACCCCAGGTTGCTAAGAGCCGAGCTGGGAGATGTGTAAGGGCCATATACATCTCCCCTCCCAGCTCTTGGCAAGGGACATTCTGGCCAGCGTCCCGCTCAGCTCCTTGCAACCAGTAATGCCAGTGAGCTGGGTGGGACACCGGCCAGAGCGCTGTTAGCTTGCACAGGCACCAGCGCCACCAGAACATGGCCACCAGTACCCCCTACTTCAGGCAGCAATTATGCTAGGGACACCTCAAGAACATATAATGCAGGACCAGCAGTACTGCATTGTAAGTGAGGATGCCGAGGGCCCGGAGAAAAGAGGGCTGACTGTTGGGGGTGTCAGAGATATGGTAAGTACAGTATAGTTGTTTCTTTCCGTTACTTCTAGACTAAACGAGCATTTAACCCTTGCAGGGCAGGGGAGCCTCACTGCAAGGGTCATTTTTATTCTTCCTTGGAGTTCTGTTTTGATATTCTTTGGGCGGATGACAGTGAATTTTTTTCTAGCTGGGGGTTGGCTCTCTGCACAGCATACTTGTACATTATATGACACACTTACCTACAAGAGTGCCCCGCTCCAGCAGTGACGGATCCAAGCTGGCAATCACAGCTCTGTCCCCGTCACCATCTTCTATGCTGGTTCCCCATCACTCCTCTTCAGCCACTGATAATGGAACTCCTGCACACAGGATTGCCAGCATCCCCGGCACCTGGCTCCGTTCTTAGCATCTATGAGACGACGAGAATGATGCAGGACGATACACTGCATGGTGCATAGCAAAATACAACATTGGTTGTGGAAAGAGGTGTGTTAGATTTAAAGGAGAATGAATAGAATGTGTGCAATCAGATAGTGATGTGTATTGCCAGCTTAAGGTGAAAGTCAACCTCAAGCAAACCAACAACATTCACCTGAACTTCAGGCAAATTTCTTATTTAAATATACCTTTCATTAACTGTGAAGGATATAAATCCACATGCTCTGCATCCAATTCCTTTGCAAACCCAGATATTACAGTGACCCAGAGATTAACAGCGGCATCATCACTGTGTCGCACATAGCCTATTCAGAGAGCAGAGCTGTGGGAGGGGCCTAACAGGCCTCACTTACTGCAGGCTGCAGAAAACTATAGCAAGGGGCGGAGACAAGACCAGTCCCCCTGCACAAGGAGAGAGAGGAGCAGTGACCGGTCTTTATTATAGGAAGCTCCTGCACAGAGGTGACATTTCACACTGGATTGATACATAGATCTGGAAGAAATACACAAAGCTCACCAAGATTCAAGGAAGAATACACATCGATCTTGTATCTGGACTATATTTTCTTAAGCCGGAATATAGCTTTAAGAGTTTCTTGTAACCATCGTCCCAGGAAATCAGAATAGTTTGCAGTTCTGCCTTCCAGAGATTTTTATTGAGAATGTAATCAGTGTGAAAAAACCTTGGACAGGACATTTCCCCAGAATGTGGTACTGTCCTTGGAAATCAGAGACAGAATGACCTCGCTCAGCTCATTATAGCCATCCAAAGGTGTTGTACATGTAATGAATCAGACTGGCCGCTAGGGGCCGCTGTCGCTCCCTCTTATTCAACCTGCGCTCTATGATACTCGGAGGTCACAACACTCGGTGTCTGACAGGAGCATGATGGCGGCGCCCTGTGTGAGACATGCCGGCAGGTGGCTGTGCAAATTGCGGGATTCGGGGCGGTCTGTCAGTACGGCAGTGACCGGGGAAAATCAGTCGAATGTAGCCGGTAAAGAGGCGGGGAGTTCCCCTGTGATGGATGAGAAGGTGAGGCTGGCAGTGATAAAGGCATACGGGACATTCTGCGGCAAAAGATTATAAACAGACAGAGGTGAACCATTGTAGGCGGGGTCACATAGTAACCAATCACAAATCAGCTTTCTGCGGATTCTAATTGGAGTTGTCATGGAAGCTGAGTTATGATTGGTTGATAGGGTTTCCTGCGATCGTGTAGTCATGGGCACAAAGGCTGAAGTGAAGTGGGAGCAAATTCATCTGTGGGGGGAGGGGATTACATATTCCGTATGCATGTTCACTGAAATCAGCATTGGTAGGTCAGGCTGCATACAGAAGAACTCCTGGATTTTCTCCCATTCACCCTTGCAGTTGATGTAGCCCTGCATTAGAAGGGTTAAGTCCTTGTTTTGGTCTAGGGGTCACCTCTTTCCCCCTCTGCGCCAGCAGTAGTATGTCCCTCGGCGTCCTTGCATCTAATTGACCTACTATGCCACTACTTGTGTACGGGAGAAACAACCCTGATTGCAGCTATGGCCATATTTAATCAATTATTGCTTCCAACATTCCCACCCCTTTGTTTACATTCAGATGTGGGGCGGGGATGGGTCATTGGTTGCTAGGATGCCAGCAGCTGCTGGTTTCCTTCATACCCTAGCAACCAGCAGACCTCCCCGGGAAGCTGTCAATTTTGTTAGTAATCCGGCCGCTAGATGTGACTTCCCATGACAGCTGAAGTTCAGCTTGGTGGGTGAGCACCCCACTTAGTTCGCTGATCTCCATGGAGATAAAGTTCAGACCGAATACTACATAGCATGTAAAATATGCTGCTTATATTTTTATTTGATGACAAATCCTATAAAAATCTTCTTGGCTCTCCCTTTCTATGGGAGGGTTGTGGGGAGTCATGTTTAACATAATTAACCCTGTGTGTGCTGTGCTGGCAGATATTAAAGTGTGTGCTGTGCTGACACTGTCCTTCCTTCTGGAGGGTGGCTACTTTTGTTCCCCATGGTCCCTGTGTGTGTTGTAAAGTAGTCACCGCTCCAAGCTCACTCCTGTGATAAACTATAATTACAATACAAATTGGTAAACTAAATGTGAGATTGTAGTCCATCACAGGAGTGAGCTTGGAACGGTGACTACTTTACAACAGACACGGGGACCATGGGGAAAAAAAGTAGCCACCCTCCAGAAGGAAGGACAGTGTCAGAACCAATTCAGAGATGATTTGAGGATCTACAGTTGAGTCTTCTGCTGGAATCTCTGCTGACTTTGTGCATATCATCCTGGTAATAGACAAAAGTGACAAACATTTGCATAGTATGTGTGAGAAAGAGCAGCAGTAAGACCTGAAAGAAGCACTCCGTGCAGAAAAGGGATTCACAGGCAAGAATATTGCTGCTACTAAGATTGCACCTAAATCAACCATTTATTGGATCATCAACATCTTCAAGGCGAGAGGATCAATCGTTGTGAAGAAGGCTTCAGGGCGCACAAGAAAGTCCAGCAAGCGCCAGGACTGTCTCCTAAAGTTGATTCAGCTGCTGGATCGGGGCACCACCAGTGCAGAGCTTGCTCAGAGATGGCAATAGGCAGGTGTGAGTGCATCTGCATGCTCAGTGAGGTGAAGACTTTTGGAGGATGGCCTGGTGTGAAGAAGGGCAAGAAAGAAGCCACTTCTCTCCAGGAAAAACATCAGGGACAGACTAGAGATGGGAAGGGCTGGAAAAAAACGGAAAAATTGGGAGAAAAACATTGCCCCCACCTCCTTTTTTTTCCCCCCGGAAAAATTGAAATAAAAAAAGTGTGGAATATGTTCTTTTACAATGATAAATAATATATATTTGACATGGTGTTCAAACTATATAACAAGAAGACCTTAATGAAAGATTTCTGAGACTTTATGTGAAGTCTTAAATTGTTGCACATTCTCTCAACTGAACACAAACGAATCCTGGAATACAATTCAAGTAACTCTGTACTTCCCAATGCAGTTCTAATATGCATTTCTGCCACTAGGGGCACTGCAGAGGAAAGGCTACAGTTTAGTTGGCTTGTGGACTCTTATCTTGTACCTCCTACAGTTGGGTGATTGTTGGTATGATAGTTTCTGTCCTCTCAGGTCAGAGGGTCTGACAAATTAGTTTATCTTTATAAATGATTCCTAATAATGTTCTCCCCCATCACAGTATAATGTTTACCTATAGTCTGTTCTGCAAATAGTTATTTTTCCCTCCTTTGGTGAGACCAACATCTAGAGTTTGGAAAGATTTCCTCAGTGCAACTTCTGCTGAGAGCAAAGCTGCAATGTGTAAATAGGTGCGGGGATTGGACTGCTGAGGACTGGGGTAAAGTCATTATCTCTGATGAATCCCCTTTCCGATTGTTTGGGGCATCCGGAAAATACCTTCCCACCTACCTTGTGTCATGCCAACAGTAAAGCATCCTGAGACCATTCATGTGTGGGGTTGCTTCTCAGCCAAGGGAGTGGGCTCACTCACAATTTTGCCTAAGAACACAATGCCTTTTCCAGCATGATGGAGCACCTTGCCATAAGGCAAAAGTGATAACTAAGTGGCTTGGGGAACAAAACATCAACATTTTGGGTCCACGGCCAGGAAACTCCCCAGAACCTCTTCCCATTGAGAACTTGTGGTAAATCCTCAAGAGTTGGGTGAACAAAACCCCCCCACAAATTCTGACAAACCCTAAGCGTTGATGATACAAGAATGGGCTACCATCAGTCAGGATGTGGCCCAGACATTGACTGACGGCATGTCAGGGCAAATTGCAGAGGTCTTGAATAAGAAGGGTCAACACTGCAAATATTGACTCCTTGCGTAAACTTCATGCAATTGTAAATAAAAGGCTTTGACACTTATGAACAGCTTGTAATTCTACTTCTGACAAGAAGATCTTCAAACACTGAAGCAGCAGACTTTGAAAATTCATATTTGTGTCATTCTCAAAACTTTTGGCCAGGACTGTACTTCCCAATGCTCAGACCAGCCTGGCTGCTGGACCGGTCCCCGCAGCCTCTTCTCCCCCTCTGCTCCGTGAATCATCATGTCTAATACCGTGCATTAGATGTGAGGATTCCAAGAGACATACAACCGGTGGAGCAGTGAAGGAGAGAGGCTGCGAGGACTAGGTCTAGCCGCCATGCTGGTCAGAGGATCAGGTGAGTATATCATTTTTTATTTTACACCCTAGACCAGGGGTAGGCAACCTCGGCTCTCCAGCTGTGCTGAAACTACAAATCCCATACGGCATTGCAAGCCACAGGCATGACTCCCAGAGCAGAAGCACAATGGGATTTGTTGTTTCAGCACAGCTGGAGAGCCAAGGTTGCCTACCCCTGCCCTAGACCAAAATGAATGGTTAAGCTTTACAGTGCTGTCGCCTCACTGCAAGGGTTAATTTTGTTTCTGCCCAGAGTTCGTCTTTAAAGTGCACTGATTATTAAAGTATGATTTCCTGCTTACCCCTCTATCTTTTAATAACTTAAAGCAGGGGTGCCCACAAGGTCGATCGTGATCTACCAGTGATCGCCATGTCCTCTCCTCCCGCCGCTTCTCTGGATCCCCGCTGGGGATCCCCAGCGGGGATCC